GGATGGCCCCCCGGGTGGTGGGCTTTCTTCGGGGAGTGCCTCCGCGGCAGGACGGACATGCCGTCGTCGTCCATGAAGCGCTTGGGCGTCTTGATGACCCGGGAGGAGCGGGCGCTGACCACGGGCATGATGAAGTGCCGGATGTTCTTGAGGAACCTGGACTTGCCGCGCTGGAGGTCCCTGCAGGCAGGGTGCGGCGCCTCCCCGCCCTCCTTCTCCGCCTTGCAGAGGAGCTGCTGGGCCAGCTCGCGCTCCGCCTGCTTGGCCAGGGACGGCGGCCGCCCGCGGGGCCGCTTGGCGCCCAGGAACATCAGGGCGGAGGAAGCCGGCTTCCTTCTGTACTTGGCCTTCAGGATGCCCACCAGCTTGGGGCTGGTCGTCGCGGACGTGGCGGCCGGGAGGCCTTCCTCGCCGGCCGCCGCGGGCGCCACAGCAGCCTTCCTCTTCACCCTGCGGCCGATGTGGGGCCTGCGCCGCCGGCCGTGCTTGAGGGGCTTTGCCGGCAGGTCAGGCTGCGGCTGCTGCTGCTGCTGCTCCTCCTCCTCTTCCTCCTTCTCGTCCGACGCAGGAGGCTCCAGAACCAGGACCTCTCCCTCCCGCGTCTCCTCGTCCACCGCTTTCTCAATCGGGTGCTCCGGCTCCGGAGGGGTGGAGACCGGCGGCTCGGGCGCCACCGTCTCCAAAGCCTCTGCCGGCGGCGGGGGTCCCGTCTCCCCCTCCGGAGCTGGGGGTGCAGGTGTAGGCGTCGGCGCGGGCGCGGGGCGCACTTTCTTGGAGCGCCGCCTCTTTCTCGGGGCGCCGCCCGCGGGGGCGGGGTGCGTCCTCTCCACCAGCGCGTCGATCGCGGGCAACAGCACGTGGACGGCGGGCAGGGCGGGGGGGCTTTCCGCGCGTGGCTTCTGCACCGCCCTGGACCTGCGCTTGCTGTTGGACCAGGGCCGGTGCCCCCGCCTCTTCCTCGGGGAGCCTGCGGGGGAGCCCAGCTTCGCCCTGGGAAGAGGGGGGGGAGGAGGAGGAGGAGGAGTGGGGGGAGGGGGAGGCGGAGGGGAGGAGGAGGTGGGGGGAGGGGGAGACGGGGGAGGAAGAGGGGCCGGCTCCACCTGCGCGGGCTGCTCTCCCGGGGCTTCCCTGCTGCTCCCCGAGCCCGTGTCTGGCTCCGCGAGCTCGGGCCGGATCCTCTCGATCAGGAGCGAAGGCTGCATCCTGCTGCACTGCTCCGGGGAGAACGGCAGGAGGACGGCGGGGGGCTCCCCCAGGGGCTCCTCCCCGGCGCCCTCTGGCCCGCGGGCCGTCCTCGCTTTCCTCTTGGCCGACGAGCGCCGCTTCCGGCCCGGCCTGCTCGCCGGCGCCGCGGAGCCCTTTCCTTGGGCCTCCTCTTCGGGACAGGCGATCACCCACTTCTCGCTGGGCTGCGGTGTGTCCTGGATGTCCTGGGTGTCCTGGGGCTCCTGGGTGTCCTGGGGCTCCCGGGGCGGGCTCTCCGGCACCCTCGTGGCCTTGCCCTTCCCCTTGACCAGCGTCAGCGTCCAGACGAACTTGCTCTGCTTCTTCCGCGAGGAGCCCTTGGCGTCGCGGCCCGACCGGGCCCGGGCGGAACTGGCCAGCAGAGCCTTGGGGTTCCTCACGCGCTTCAGCTTGAGCCCGGGGATCCCCAGCTCTGGGCCCTCCGCGGCCGGGCTGCGGCTGCCGGCTTCGGGGGTCGGCTCGGGGGGCTGCGGTGGTCCTGCGGGGCAGACTGCGGGCTCCCCGGCCGGCGGTTCGAGCGCGGCGGCGGCGGGGGCCAGGCTCGCCTCTCTGCCGGCTCTCCTCCAGTGCGCCCTCGCGGCTCGCTTTCCCTTGCCCCTCCGTCCCGGCGGTCTCCCCTCGGTCTTCCTGACCCCCGCTTCCAGAGGGGGCGCCCCCGCACTGTCGGCACCATCGGCGCTCCTGAGCTCGGAGACGGCCTCCGGCTTTCCGTCTTCCGGACGGGACTTCGCCCTCTTCCACCGGGACTTCGGCCCGGGCCTCGCGGCTTCCGACGTCCCCTCGGCCATCCGGCCCAGAATCTCCGGGTCGGCACACGCGGCGCTGTCCGTCCTCCGGCGGTCGGACCTGGGCCCTCTCCGCCTGCCGTCCAGCTTCAGGCCGGGCCTGCCCCTCTCCAACCTTTGGCTTTCCACCGCCTGGGCGACGCCCACGGCGTTGTCGCTCCTGCCTTCCCCCGCGGAGAGCGGCCTCCTGCCCCTGCCCCGCGCCCCCTGCGGGACCCTGCCCGGCCCGGGGGCGCGGCCGCCCCTCTGCTGCTCCGGCCGTCTCCCGGTCTTTAATTTCACGTGGGCGCTGGACAGCTGGGCCCCTTGGATTTTCCTGGCTTTCGACACGAACTTGAACCCGGCCACCTTCAGCTTC